CTGCCTGGGGGCCCTGGGCAAATTACTTACTCTTTGAGGTCAGCCCTACCAGGTCCCCAGAGGCGAGCGGACCACAGTCTGACCAGGCCCGCGCGGGAGCTTTGATCAGCTCTCATTGTGGCTGGGAACCTGGCAGGGAGAAACAGGCCTGGCCTCTACGGCTCTTGGAAGAGCTGGTTGAAGGACGGTTGCTACATAACACTCAGATTGTGTGAATAGAGCTTTAAGCTACATAACATACACTCTAATTGTGTGAATGGAGCTTTGTTACATACTCTCTAGTTGTTTGGATAGGCCGTATACACTAATTGTGTGAATAGGTCTTTACTGCATATACTCCAATTGTATGAATACACTTTTGATTCATACACTCTGATTGTACAAATAGACCTTTGCTACAAACACGCTAATTGTGTTGTGTGAATTGATCGTTGCGACATACACAATAATTGTATGAATAGAGCTTTGATAACACTCTGATTGCGTGAATAAAGCTGTGCTAAATACACTCTAATTGTATGAATATGCATTTGCTACATACATGCTAATAATGTTGTGTGACTTGAACTTTGGACCTATACTTTAATTGTGTGAATACGTCTTTGCTACATACACTCTAATTGTGTGAATGAAACGTTGCTACATCCATTTTAATTGTAGGAATAGATCTTTGCTGCATACACACTTACACTTACAGAGTTGGGTGGATTGATCTTTGGGGCATACACTCTACATGTATTTGTGTGGGAAGGGCGTTGCTACATACACTCTGCTTGTATGGATACAAGTTTGCTATACACTCTAGAATTGTTAACATATGTGAGGCAGCATGGTGGAATCAGGCTTTTGTCAATTTTTGGGCAAGTAGAGTTATTGGTATCATTTTAAAGCTTACTTACTCGTCTTTATTTGGATGAAAAAAGTATCCATTTATCTTGAATACAAGTCAAGATATTTACGAAAGAAAGAGGTGGGGGTCACCTATTTTCAGAGGTAAAATTAGTGAGAAAATGGCCTCCAAAGGTTAGTTATTTCCTTAGCTTAAGAGTCCGTGGTAACTGAAAATGTAAATTTTCTGTACCTTTAATCAACATTTTTCAGAAAAATCCACTCAGGAATGAGTTCTTTAGTGGGCATGAAAGGTGTTGAGCCAAAAAACAAAAATTTAATAAAAATTCACAAACCTGCGGGAAAATGCAAGTTTTTTCATTTTGATTATTTAGACGAGAGCCTGATTCCACCACGCTGCCTCACATATACTTTTCTTTTGAAACTAATTGTGTCAAAATATCTTTCCGGAATGCCGTTTAGCTGTGGGAATAGACATTTACCATGTGCGTCTTGTTGTTGTTCGGGAATATACTTTTCTTACATACGTAATACTTGTGGGAATAAATTGTGGAATTTATTTTAGTTTCAAAATCGAAAACTCAAACTGACTGGGGATTTTGCCCCAAAGTTTTTCCTTTTAAAAAGACGTTATATTGGTCTCTATTGGATTGTTGATGTAGAGCGTGGAGTAGCGACCTGCAGGCCTGGAGCTATTGACCAGGACGTCGCTGGTCTAATGAAGACTTTCAAAGGACCGGAGTCCGGCAACTCACACACGCCCAGGGGCCTGCTACAACGCTTTGGCCCACATTCCGGCTCTTTGCACCAAACACAACCCAGCTTTTTTATTTGTGTCTTTTCATCGTTACTCTCACCCCTCTCTCTCTCTCTC